CAGACTTGGGCACAGGGGGTTGGTGTCTCCCTTTGATGGCCATAACCAGCCCCAGCTCTGTCCCAAACCAGGTGAAGCCACATCAGGGCAGCTCAGGGCACCTTTTGGTTTTGCCCATTTGTGAAAAGTCCCAGGCAGAGCCATAGATCTGAAGTCACAGTCAGATATTCAACATCCTCCTCGTGAATTGCCCGTTGCCCATAAAATAACAAAATAGCTCATGGTCTCTGACAGACCTGTTTTCATCCACTTATAGGCTGGTTTTCATTTTTTGGCAGCTGTTAGCATTGTGCTTTGGGAAGACAAGGCAATGAACCACCACCCAGGGATGAAAATGTTCAGGTATTTGGAAGTGTTTTACCAAGGTCACATAAATAACACAAGCTGGGAAAGTAAAACACCAAGTTAGCAGGGATGTAACTAGTGCTGACCGTTTTCAGCGTTTTGCCCGTGATTATGCTATAAATGATATCTAGGAGTAGAAACTCCTTCTTGTAGCCACAGACATGCTTCTTTGTAAATGAGAACGGTGCAGAGAGGCGTTGTGTGTCCTCCGACTGTGCTGGGGATGCTGCTCAAGCCACTTCAAAACATGGTCAGTAAAAAAAATCCATGTGTGTATATATATATATTGGCAGGGGGGATGGTGGGTGAGGTTTAGCGTTCGTTGGTAAGCAAGCACAGGAACTCAGGCTTTGAGGGTGAAATTTGGAATGTGTTTTGGCTCTAAAAGGGGCAAAGGTTTGCCCTGGGTCAGCCCAGACCCCCAGGACCAGCTCAGTTGTGCTCGGTGTCACCCCCAGACCCCACCAGTGAAATGTCACTGTCAACGTTCATATTTGGAGCTGTGTCCTGCCCCAAAATCATGGGGGCTTGGGGGATCTTTTTAAAATGGTTTAAAACAGTTGGAATGGTTTAGAAATCCGTCAGCTAATTATTTAACCCTTCCTGATGCAAACTGGGAGGTACACATCTGACTCATCTGTGCTTTTCCCTGCAGGATTGCTTTGGACATGCCAGTGGGGGGGTCAGTACTCTGCCCTAGGTTGAGATTTTCTCTGCTTAATTTCTGACATGACCAAAGCCCCGTCCATGCTCCCCCTTTCTCCTTACACATTTTAATGTTTTCTTTTCCTTGTAATAAGGGATGTGGATGATCACAGAGGTGGCTTTCTACTGCGTAGGAGGGACCCAGTGTAGCTGCTCTCAGATTTCTCTGAAAATGAAAACTAAGAAAACCAGAAACCCCCACTATATTCTTTTTTGGAGCCAAATTAGAGGCATCCAGGTGCCGCTGAAACAGGAGGTGCAGCTCCGCTTGCTCCTCTTGGAGCCGAAGGAAACCGCCAGACCTCGATGCAGTGAGATGCAGTGATTCGGTGACCGCTGGGGCGAGGGGCTCGTGCCCCCATCCCCGCAGCCCCATCCCGTCTCCACGCCAGCCACCGCCGTGCCTGCTGCTTCGCACGGGGACCTGGCTTTGCAGCTCCCTGTCAAGCGACTTGTGCAAATACTTCAAAAGTCAGATGTCCTTACTCTATTTAAGCAACAAACTTAATCTGTTATATTTATATCTGTATCAGTTTGGAGGTGGGTTTTTTTTCCCCCCCCAAGATGATCCCTGGTGTTTTTCCCACAGGGTGTCTCTCTATGATTGCTCTCGTTACTTAGTGGTTGTTATAGTTAAGATCCCATCATCTGACCCTTCATAATCCCCATATTGCGTTACACCGCGTTGCTAGACATACTTGGTGTATGCTACTGTTTGTCAATTTTAGACTGCCCCATCAAGCCTACGAGTTTCTTAAAAGTGATGCAAGGTTATGTTACACAGGCACATTCTCCGACTCGTTCCAGTTAATGCCTTGGCACTTGGAAATGCCATGGATTGGTAATAGAGGGGAATAAATGGATGGGTTTTATAAGCAAAAAAACCCGAAAGCTAACATTGAACAATGAAAGCATTTGGCATCAGCATGTGTCTCATCAATTACCTTAAAAATAGAACACATTTTAGGCACTTGAAGCATGGCCTGATGCCCTGCTTCGTAACAAATGGTGACACAGGGGTCGGCCCCTCTTGATATTTGAGTTTAAATACTTGTCAACCCTTTTGCTTTCAAGAGAGGTAAGTTGGAAGTTTTGAAGAAAATACGCAAATGAGAAAAATCAATGAAGTGAAACAATCCTGCGTGAGAGCCTGCTGGGTTTCGTGCAAGAGTTCATCCATACGTGAGCACCTGCCTTAGAAACAGTAAGCAGTAAGTATGAATTGTTCATTTCCAAGGGCAGACTTTATCTTCTATCAGTTTGCTCCTAAAGTGCTTTGATTTAACACTTGTTAGGTACCTAGTTAGCATGAATTTTGAGCTGCTACCCATAGGAATGGCTTTGTGATTGCTGCAGGTACCTCTTGTCTTCTGATTATGCTTCGAGCGTAGCTGCTGGCACAGCGCTCTGCCGTTTGGTAACAGAGCACCTCCTGCAGCAGCTTATTAGTCCGGGGATTCCTGAGCAAGTGTCAAATTGGTGTGAAAATAGCAAGTGCTACCAATGGAAGTGGCTTTCCTGTCTTAATGAAGGTTGAGGAATGAGGAATACCCGCAAATGTTATTGGGAAGAAGATGGGAGTTTTGCATTGGAAAAGACTTCTAGATTTGGCCATGAGCACGTCCCCAGCCTGGAAGGTGTCGTTTGTTGCCTTAACGTGCCGTTTCCAGCCCACCAGAACGCCAAGCAATGTGTTAGAAAAGGAAGTGAATCCTGAACTCGAGGTAATTTATGGAGGAGAGACCTAAAGTAGGCAAAATGTGATACCCACCTTGGAAATCTGTGGGATTAGCACCCGTGTCACCAGGAGAGGTGTCACCAGGCAGCCCTTCGCTTTGCATCTGACGGAGAAGGCATTGCTCCCAGAAGTATAGTGTTTCCTAATCGTGGTATTGACAAGTGATATATTTCTACTTAGAAGAAAACTTGCTTTTCAAATACCTGATAGTGTTCTCAGTATCCCTGTTTTCCTTCTTGAGAGGACTTCATGGGTTTGACCCTACTTAACTTAGCAGATCTGACAAGACCATGGCCCAAGATGGCCTGGCTGAAGATCATGGAAATACAAGAAGGTGGCCAGGGGCTTTATTTACAGTCAAGAAATTAGCAAGCGATAAGTAACCACTGAATAGACAGCTTCTGTAGCATTGATTTATTTGATAACATCAGGAAACCATTTATGGCCTCTATTATGGACAGCAATTGCTGGGGGTTAAAACTGCTAGACCAGATAGATTGATGTGTGGGTCTGCTGTTGTGCTTGCTACTGCATAATATAAAATAAGGATGTCCCCTGAAATACCAAAGGGGCAAACGGAGCCATTATGTCCTTGGATTGGGTTTTTGTTATTTTTTTTTCCTTCACCACTTATTTCGTTTTTAAACTTTTTGCCCTCTTCCCCGCTGTGTAAGAGCATTAATTAAATAAGGACCTCTGGATAATGGCTTTTTAATAGAGGTTAACGGGGCTGTGAACACTGTGTTTCTTGTTACAAAACACAGCAAAGAGAGAGCATCATCATGCAGAGACTATTTTGCTGCTGGCAGACTCCGGCAGAGCATGGTTGAGACTGTAACGAGAAATACGGCTTAAAAATTGGTGGGGCTTGGTTTCACAGCCTCTCGTCTGTGGTTTCTTTCCTATGAAAGATGCATTCGCAGTTGCAAGGTAAGGATTTGATTCAATACCCCCTGCAAGGAATATTTGAAATTATGAGAGGAAATCTTCCTAATCCAATAAACAGTCCAAACTGTGGCGTACTGAAATTGCACTGTAGCGGAAAAATTACCCTCCCACACTACTCTGCTTTTACAAAGCAGCCATGAGCACAGTGGTGTTGGAGGTATGGCTTTCTGGTTTGCCATGTAAATTTAGAAGCCTATAAAATATTCTGAACAAAGGAGGAGGCACTTCCTAGATGGAATGGACGCTTAATGAAAAAAAGGATTTCGGGTAATCTTCTGTAGTTACATCAGTTCTCCGAATATTAGCGAAGTAAATCTTTGTAGTTGCTTACTAATTTGGTTAAAAAAGTGGTAAAAAGTAGGAAAAGGATGAACCTGAGATGAACTGTCAGCCAAGATCTGTTGACAGTGCAAATTTTGACCGTGGCAGGGCATTGGCATTGCCCCTGGGCAGATGGGATGGGTGCAGGGCATGGACCTGCTGTGGGAAGTGCAATGGGGAAATGCTCCCTATGGGACCGGTCAGGCTGGTTCAAAGGGCTGGTGCCCATCCCTCCATGGACCCCTGTCCCCAGGCACAAAGAGCCTGTTCACCTGCCTTTTTCTGTCTTCCTGGAGGATTTTACCTTAACCAGGATCTGGCTTTTGGGAGGGCTTATCAGTTGCACGATGGCTTCACTCACACCAAACCTCCCTGCAATATTCAGTTGGGGTTTAGACCTGGCAAAGGCAGCGAAGAGCCTGCCGTCCCCGGCCCTTTTGAGATATCTGAGATGTTCCAGATACAGAGACCTTGTGCTGATTCTTCCCACGGTGCAGAATTTCACCCGCACACCTCGCAGGTACCTTTCACGCCACTCCACCCACCTACAGTGATTCAAGCATGGAGTGAAGGATTGAAAGGCGTAGCGATCCCAGGAATCCTCTAGAAAATGGCCGTCTCTTGCCTTACTCAATGGGGGACACATCAGCTGCACTGAAATGTCAGAAGGGTTTGCACAGCTGACAGGTTGCTGAAAATGGAGCATGGCAGCATCACCATAAATTCTCTTTATCCAGCCAAGTGCAGCTTAATATAGACTTAGCTGCACGGTCTGTCTCCTGCACTGAGACCGAGAGCTGCCACAGCTCATGACCAAAACATGAAGTTGTCGATTTAACTGGAAGAACTACTGCTAGTGAGGGGAAAAAAAGAAAAAAATCCTTTAAAATTTGTCTTTCTGCTTAGGTTTAAAAAGTAATAGAGAAAGGAGAGAAGAACGAACATGTCTGAACTCAGCCAAAACTCTGACGAAGAAGTGTGTCCCGAGGACATCGATGAAGATGAAATCCTGGCAAACCTGTCCCCCGAGGAGCTCAAGGAGCTGCAGTGTGAGATGGAAGTCATGGCCCCAGACCCCGAAGTCCCAACGGGGATGATACAGAGGGATCAGACGGAGAAACCCCCCACGGGGAGCTTTGACCACAGGTCCCTGGTTGACTACCTGTACTGGCAGAAGGCATCCAGACGCATGCTTGAGGATGAGCGAGTTCCCGTCACTCTCTTGCCCTCTGAGGTAACAAGCAAAAAATCACAAATATTTATTATGCATCTGCTGTGGGATCTGTTTTATAGCTTTAATACCTTAACCTGCTTCTGTTTCCGTCCCTTACGTAAGGTACGGTACAAACAAATTTAAATTCATCCTAAAAGCTTCAGCAATGTCAGGATTCATCTTGGACTGATGTCAGGGTTAGTAATTTTGTAATTGCTTTTCCTAAATATTTACTTAACCTTTTTAATCTAAGAAAAATCTAAATTCTGTTTCAGTAAAGCAAATTGCTGAGAAATTATCATAAAATCAGTCTGGAGGATGTAACTCAAATTTGTTTGACTTTGCGCATGGAACACCACCAAATTGTTTTTCCATAGAAGACTACATTAATCATATGTATTATACTAATTAATTGACAGAATTCAATGTCATACTGGACAAAAAGCCCAAACACTGTATTTTAACAATGTGAAACATTGACTAATGACCAAGCATGCAAACTCTATGAACTACTCCAACTCTTTTCGATACAGTACTTAAATTTATTCTACGATCTCTATGACTTTGAAATAAAGTTAAGGTCATACTTAGACATTTTTCAGGATAGGGGCCACACTTAAGAATAGATTAATAGAATGGGAAGTTGGCCGGATGAATTACATCCATACCTGAACCTGAGTGAATTTGAGGTAACTGAGTTTTTTTTTTTTTTAAACACTAGTGGTTTTGCTAATACACAGCAGCACAGTACGTCACGGACTTCTCAGGGCAGGTTTCATGGGCTGCCTCTGGAGATGAGGGGGGGAAATCTGTGGTTTTTTTCCTCCTGCAACACCCTTACGCTCAAAGAAACAATTTTTTTTTTAACACTTCTGAGGTTAAATCTGGAATTTATGTGTAGAGCTGCCTGCTGCATTCACAACTGGTCGAGCAATCCCATACTAAACCCATCCACCACCACAACAAATAGGAATGACAGCCCTGCGGCAGAGGTGACTGTGACCGTTTTGTCTAACTTTCGACGAAGCACAAGCCATGACACTTCCCCACCTGAACTAGTGCAAATTTTTTCCTAAAAGATCTTGATCTTTATTAGTGCTTTATTAGCAGTTCTCAGTGATGAAGGATCCACTTGCAAAAAGATGCTTGAACAAAAATCTCAGCTAGGAGGGTCTCTGGAGATGGTGGAAGTTTGCAACTAGTTTTATTTTGATGCTAGAAGCCCCACTGCCTCGCAACAGCTGGTTGCAGAGTCTGGTTTTCTATCTCTGGACTCAAAAGAAAACTGAGCTAATATTTTGCTTTATTTTCAGTGAGGTGCTTCCTTAGCTCGGGCAGGTCCAAGAGCAGGCATCCTTGTTGTCCGTTGTTGACTCCACTGTTGTTACCATGTGCCCTCTTCACTCCTCCTTGGGCTGAGTGGTTAACACTGATTTCCAATGGTTTGTGGCATACAAAATAAACTTTTTCTCTTGTGAAGGAAACAATAAAAATTACGCAAAATCCAGAAAGAGACTTTGGATCAGAGACTCTTCGCCCCTAGAAGGGTTGAAGGACCACCTTACCATAGCATTAAATATGTACAGGATTTAATTGTCAGGATTTAGTTTTATAGGCAAAGATGAGAAACTGGTTTGCAGCCACTTTAAGAGCAATCGTTCCTGTATTCCCAAGCATGCCAGCACAGCCCTGACTTAAAGGCAATGATACTTTTAAGGATTATTCTATAACATTTGGGCATAGAGGTATCTAAATCCAACTGCTATGTGTTTATTTGAGCAGAAAGTTAATGTAACAAAGCCATGTTCAGTTATTTCAGCTGTGAGGTTTTGTCTTCCTCAGAGAAGCGCTGCGGAGGAGACGGAAGGAAAGGTCGGCGGCAGTGGCGAGGCGGCCGGAGGGAGGGTGCCGGGAGCGGAGGGCAAAGAGAGACATTACAAAAACGAGCACTTGTCCAACTCGGGAACACAGTTTGGGGAGACAGAGAAAGATGGAAGCGATAAGGAGAGAGGGGAGGAGGAGGATGAGGAAGATGAAGATGATGAAGAGGAGGAGGAAGAGGATGAAGAAGAAGATGGGACTGAATTGGAAACAAAGGAGACTTACACTAATGAGAATCGTCACAGTGATCAGATAAGTAAGAAACCAGGTACAGAATCAGGAGAAATCACAGAAAAGCCAAATGAAAAGAAAATATCAAAATTAAACATCCCCCAGAAGTTAGCACTGGATACCAGCTTCATTAAGCTAACTGCCAGGCCTTCAGGAAATCAAACCAATTTGGAAGAGAGTTTGGAGAAAGTCCGAAAAAACAACCCAGACATGAAAGAGCTCAACCTGAACAACATAGAAAACATCCCCAAAGAAATGCTGATAGACTTTGTCAATGCCATGAAAAAGAATAAGAACGTAAAAACGTTCAGCTTGGCCAACGTGGGAGCCGATGACAACGTGGCGTTCGCGCTGGCCAACATGCTGCGGGAGAACAGGAGCATCACCACGCTGAACATCGATTCCAATTTCATCTCTGGCAAAGGGATCGTTGCTATCATGAGATGCCTGCAGTACAATGAGACGCTGACGGAGCTCCGCTTTCACAACCAGCGGAGCATGCTGGGCCACCAGGCAGAAATGGAGATCGCCAGACTGCTGAAAGCCAATGACATCCTCCTTAAAATGGGGTATCACTTCGAACTGCCGGGGCCCAGGATGGTGGTGACCAACCTGCTCAGCAGAAACCTGGACAAGCAGAGGCAAAAGAGGCAAGAGGAGCAAAGGCAGCAGCAAATGAAACAGCAGAGAGAGTTGATAGCGATGCTGGAAAATGGACTTGGGTTGCCTCCCGGGATGTGGGAAATGCTGGGGGGACCACTGCCCCAGCCGAGGATGCACGAACCCCCGCAAGCCCCGAAACCACCCCTCCCCACGGCTGTGTCTCTGAACAAAAGGCAGGAGAGTGCGAGGCAGCCGGCCCCCGAGCAGCCTTGCCGAGAGAAGCCCGTCAGCTTCAAAGTGGTCAAGCTGAAGAAGATTCAGCGCAAACCCGCTGTGCCGGAGTACGTGGAACCCGTCGAGAAAACCAACCTTAGAGACGTCATCAAAACGCTTAAACCAGTTCCCAGGAGAAGGCCACCTCCCCTCGTTGAAATAACCCCGAGAGATCAGCTACTAAACGACATTCGTCAGAGTAACGTCGCTTATCTTAAACCGGTAAGTGCTTAGCGATGGCCGTGAGGGGAGGGAATCGCATTCACCCAGCGCGCTCCGGGGCTGTTGTATGAAACGCGTGTCGTCAGCGTTTTGCATCAGGCTGCTGTTTCTGGGATGCAGGTGGTTGTTTCCTTCAGCAGCACTAAGGTCTGGCTTGCACAGAGAAATGACAGCAAGCACTGAGGCTGCAGCCTTGCACATCCCTGTCCGTACAGGTAAAAGAAAGGAAAATCACTCGGGAGGTAAACAAAACCACCGAAACTCAGTGTTAGCATACGAGTAATAGCGTGTTAGTTATGATAGGCAGACACTATTATGTTTGTTTCAGGAGAGCAACAGGTATTATTTTTTCACGTTACTCTGTCCTCAGTCCCCCATAAAAACCATGTTTCTCTTTTCAGTAGCCGTGTTTACCTTTAGCTCTCACTTTATACGAGAAAACACCATTCGATAAAGGGTAAACCAAAACACCTGCAGCAACATAACTTACCCAAGGTCACTTAAGAAACTGCACAGAGGCAGGAGCTGGGTTTCCACAGTCGTGGTCTGGGACTGCCTTTGGTTGGTCTGGTTTAAGTGAAATGAAAAGCTTTGGTGTGAGGGAGAATTTAATATATTTTTTTTAAGAGTTATTTTCTTTCTATAGATTTGCTTTCTGTAACAGTGATACTGCAAAAACCTTTGCTACAATAACTTTCCATGTGTCTGAGCCTTACACTTTGAATTGTAACAACAGGATGAGTAAAAGATGCTTTTTCTTGGCTGACTGAGCATGTAACGTGTTTTTACAGTTGCCTAAAAACATTTCAGACAGAATAGCTTGTCCTCTAAAATACTGTTTGGTGGTGAAAGGTACAAATTGTGTATGTTTGGGTTTTTTTTAAACTATCATCAGGTTTAAAAAATTGTCAATAAACTGATAAAAAGCAGGGAGGATGAGGGCCAAATTCACCTGGGGCACAAAGATGCACCCACACTGAAATCTAGCCTAGCCGCGCAGCCTGCAGACTTGCTCCTGCCTGACCTGGTAACGAGGAGTGTATTATTTTAGTGACCCTCCGCTGCTCCATTTTTTTTTTGTCCCTATTTAAATGAACTGCAAAATTCTAGTGCTAATAGGAAAAAAGAAATTAGATCCGTTAGCAGTGAAGATGGAGCAAGGTTATAGGAAGAAAGTAGTGATACCACAGGATTTTTTTAATATTTCTTTTCAAGTAAATCTTTCCCACTGAAAGCGCTCAGCGGTCACAACTCAAGTGCAAACGTGAGCTCGACTCACTCATGGCTTTGAGAATCCAAGTCCCGAACTGTGATAACTGCCTTTTGGTGATGCTCTTACTTGGGTACCAAATTCATGGGCCACTTCTCAAAATGTTGGCCACCAGATTTAACCTTTTGCTTTCCTGAAATGTTGTGTTTCCTTGCATTGTACTGTTTTTCAAGAAGTACGAAAAGCTGACGGATTTATTTGTAGCTAGCCATGTCGATGCATCTGTTTGTGTTGCTTAGGTTAGAGGAAGAGGACAGATAATCCTTTGCACTTAAAAATGGTCAAGTAGTATTTCATAATTCATATTTTGTTTAATACTGACATTTTAATATAGTGGGCCACATTTTGCTTTCATTTATACCTACTCAGAAATAATTATTCCTTTGGTAATTCCAGAGAGAGTAGTTTGTCCTGAAATTTCGGCAGGGGCAGGTCCTGCAGTGACCTTGGTCCAGGTTTAATATGAATGTTCTGCCCCCAAACCACGCTTTCGGGTTGTGGTTTTTGCTGGCCAGTCCGACTTGGCTGCAGCCAGGGCAGCTTCCTTGGCATTTCTGGCCTTTCTAGATCTCAGTCTATGTTTTGCATTTTGGTGCCATGTCTAAGATGACAAGACCTGCTCTCGCAAAGGTCACGGTTAATCTGTACATGCCAAGACGGGGCTTGTGACAGCAGTTTGGTCTGTCATTGCCACGGGATCTGCTGCCTCCCCTCCTCTCAGGAAGATGGAGGATGATGATGATGGTGCCAGTGCTCTGCCAGGCACAGCCCTCATCTTGCACAGCAATGGTTAAGAAATGTGGGTGCTGCCGGGTGCCAGGGAGCAATAGTGAACCCAGCCATTCCCCCCTCAAATCCTTGGGAGCACGTTTATAAATGAGGGCTGTGGGGTTTGGGGCAGAGGGATCAATTCACGGTCCATCCTAAACAGGCCAGATAACAATTGCTATCACAGCCCGTGGAAAGGTGAAGCAATGGACACGTGTTGGGGTTTGGGGGTTGATTTTTGTTGGATGTTTTTTGGGTTTTTTAATTATTATTTTTTTTGTCCTCTGTCATTGGGCCAAAGGGCTTGGATTTGGGGCATTAGGGTTTTATTCTCACCTGCCTGTGTGGTGTTGGTAACTCCTATCTGCCTCAATATCCTCAGCTTCATCTCTAAAATCGGGTTTTACTGCTTGAGCCGAGCTGCCTGTTTGTTCACTCTGTGGTGGGACTGATTGCTTGCAAATTGATTTCCTGGGTATTAAGAATTGCAAACAGCAAGCGAGGAATTGCAGACAAAAGAAATTCCCAACCAAAGCTCCTTGGAGCTCTCAGCTCTTGTATTTTTGATCTGTTTACAGTTTCTGAAGGGTTGTATTAAACTAAATGGGTTTGGGAACTAAGAGTGAGAAATTTCCTCCTCCTAATAATTACTGTCCTCGTTCAGGTGCCATTGCCAAAGCAGCTGGAGTGAGAGACCAGACTGACCCGACGGAAACAACTTGGAATAAAGACTGTTGAAGTTTTGCTTACAACTGTTTCAGCAGATGTTTTCTGCAGAACCGAGGTGGTATATACGACTCTTTGGGAACAAAGCTTGCGATACATACTTTTCTAAGTGCGGTGAAAACGGCTGGCATGGGAAAAGTCAGTGCTAAGTGTTTCCATCAGGTATCAAACAATCCCAGTGCCATCTGTCTGCCAAGTGGATTTGAGGCTCCAGTTTGTTGTGGGAGTGTTTTCTCAGAGGCATCAATAACCTTGTCTTTTCAGTTTGTCAGCAAACTATTTTGCTTCCACGTTGTCCTTCTGCTGCCAGATTCTGCAGGAACATGCTGTGCTTTATCTTATCTTTCTTTTCACACACATGCTCCTTTATTATTCTCTTGTCCCTGAGAAATGTATTTAGTTCCCATGTATACAGCTACATTTTTTAGGCTAAGGAACCAGAAATGAAATAAAGCTCTCTCCGTAAGATGTGTGCAGCACTTCCATGGCTAAAAAGATGCTCATGGAACAGAACAACTGCTCTGGTACATCGAACACCTTGGCTTGATTGTTTCAAGCTACCTCTAATTTCAGACCACAGCCTAGTTGGTATTGTACCTGATCAGCATATAAAAGAGGACATCATTCTCTGCTTTGAGAGCTGTCATCTTCACTCCCCACGATTCACCTCTGTCCATGATGTATTCCTTAATTGCAGCCACCTTGGAGCGCACTGAAGTGCCATTTCAGGTCTCTCTCCATGCTATTCTTGTGGCAGGAGGATGAGCCTTAATCCTTTCTTCTCCAGGGGTTTAAAAACCTCATCATTCTTCCTCATATGGGGCGGGAATAGCATGTATCACCTCTAGCAGGACTGGATATGATGGGGTTAAACCTGCATATACACAACTTAAGTTTTTCCTTAATATTTTTGTGAAACTTTTTCTCCTCTCCTTTTTTAATCACATTAGATTTTTTTTTTTGCTGCAAGCCTTCTTTGTAAAGCAGCTACAGGTAAGTCACACTCTTGTGGAACACATGCCCAAGAGATCAGTTGCTTTGGGGTGTTTTTGTTTGGTTTTTAAAGCTATAAGGCATAGAGAAAGAACAAAGCCTTTCCCTTTGCTATCATGCAGCTCCCCTGCCTTCATGTGGCTGATGATCCACTTGCTCAAAAGACACAGCTTTGCAGGTGCTGGCAGGATGTCCTTCAGCTGGGTTTCTCCTTGCTCCTGCCCGTAACTTTTAGCAACCTTCCCCTGGCAGCTAAATCCCAGTCTCACCCTGTTCCCCTTCCCACGTTGATTATAATAGTCCTGTAGTATCAGCAATGTCCAAGACTTCTTTGAATCCAAGGGAGTCTCCACTATCATTAGTTCAAGTTTTCATTTAGCCTTCTCCTTTTTCTATCTATCACCTGGCCTCTTTCAAATCTCCGTCTACTAAACTTGTAAAGCTCCTTCTTAGCTCTGCTTCTGCCTGTAGCTGTAATGCCACAGACGGGAAACCTAATGTATTGCAAGTAGTTTTTAAGCATCATGTAAGGGGGAGGGGAGAGTGATTTCTGCATGGCAGAGACATTAAAAAAAAAGGAAGTAATATTTTTATTGCACCTGATTCATACAGCCCTCTCTTTTTGTAAAGGATAAAAGTTGCTATTTCTAACCAAGCCCTCACAGGACGCACAGCAGCAACTGACAAATGCAAAAAGCAGCTCCCCCAGAAAGCTATTAGAGCGTGCTGCTCTCCTTGCTGGCCTCAAGGCCAGGCCAGTGCAGCTAAGACTTCAGCAGTTGGGACAGGGAAGTACAAAGGAAAATATAAAAGAGTGCTTTACAGTCTCCTACTCAAGCTGCCAGGTGCTACACCCAGAAGCAGCCAAAGCAGCAGCACTGCAGCAGCTGACAGGTACTACCAGGGCATAGCCAGCAGGACCTGCCAAGCCCTCCTCTGATCCATGTTCTCCCACCGAGCAGCCTCTTGAGTGATCACAGGAGGAGGGAGGCAGCCAGATACAGAGATCACAGAGCTGGCTTCCTAGTACTGCTCAAGGCACAGGTCCCAGTAATCCTAAAAGCAGAAATCCCTCTCAAGTAATTAAAAGAAATGTAAAATCCCAGTTAAGTAAAGTAGAGTTACATAAGAGAGTGAAACAGCCTGAACAAATGCCTTAAGTACTCCACTGCTGCAGAGGAGCCTTTGTAAGGATGCAAGAGCAAGGTTATAACAATCCTGCAGCTCAGAGATCCCTCATGCCTCAACAAAGTTAGTACAGATCCAGAGCATTCAAAGCCAGCAGCTTCATCACAAGCATGGGCTTGCAGCATGAGGTGCAGGGTGGCAAAAGATCTCCCACCACCACTCCAGGGGGTTCCACCAACCATAGAAACAAAGACAAGCTCAAGCTTCCAACCACCTATCCCAACCTGAAATAAATCCACTCAGGAATCACCATTAGAATTTATTTTTCTTCATAACTGTGCTGTTTTTAAAATTCTACAGTAATAATGAAGTCATAGGCTACCATGTTCTTTAAGTGTGGAAACAGTTTTCAAAAAACAAAGACCAAGCACTACAAGTGAGGAAACAGGCCATTGAGTCTTCAGCTGGAATATACAGACATTTTCAATAAATACTGATCACTTTAACACTTAAATGGAATGACATGTTCAGATTTCTACACACTTCACTATGAAAACAGCATGGTAAGTTACATAAAAGCTTCAGCTTTAAGGATCCTTCCTTTTTTTGTTCAATTAATTTGTTAGAAAAGAGAAATGCAAGAACATTTGAGATGGAGTGTCACCTGGACAACTTTTTTCCCCCCCTTTCTTGTTGGTAAGCTCCTGTTATCAAGATAATTCCATCAAAGCTGGCAGTTAAGTTAAAATATATATACAAAAGAATCCCCCACATCACTTTCAGTTGTTGTTACAGGCAAATATCTTCATGAATTTGGAATGGGTTTTCAAAAACTGTATCTTGACATTTATTGCTTTTACTTGTAAACCTGAAATCCAGTTTATTCCTTTGAAGAGTGCCAGAAGTACAGAGTCAGTGAGATGCATGTTTTACTTATATCTTTGCATTCTGGTTAAGAAGAAAGAAAAAGATGACCCACGCTCAAGAACACACATACACCTCCATCTACAAAACAGCCTATACAGACTAAAGCAGAACAAGGTAAGTCCTAAAGTAGCAGTATTTAAAAACGTTGATAGGGTAGAAACCTAGCTCAGCCAATGTATCTGATTTTTTTTTTTCTTCTCCCATGCTTGGCCATAGTTTAGCTGGCAGGCAAGGAAGCTTGGCTCTCCTGTAGAGAGGAGCTGTTTCTATAGATCAAGATTTTAGAGAGACGAAAGGTGCGTTTTACTGGAACTGACAGAGGCACAGTACCACATGTATTGTTCATGCTTGGATCTATTTAGATTCTTTTCCGGCTGCTAAAGGAGGAATGTGAGGTGAGGACAGGAACCCACATCTGTTACAAGTACTGCAGTGTTTTACCACTTGCCAGTTAAGCTAGCAACGCGGTCTCCATACAGACCACTCAAGTGAGGGATTTGGAGGATGCAAGAGATACCTGCTTTTGATACATTCCAGCTCACCTCAAACCTTGCCAGCCTGAAGGTGCTACCCAGCATAAACTGGCTACACTGCCATCTTGTAGAACTGAGATGAAAGGGGTGTTACTTTTAACAGACAAATTTAATGGACAGTTTGAGAGACTGCATTCCATAGGCTTCCATCTCTTCCTCCTCCACCTCCCAGAAGAGGAGACAAGCAAACATGTTTAAGTTAGTATGTATTTGTGTAAACACCAGAACATTTTGCTATACAATAGAAAAAAGTTGCTGCTCTTATGTTGTTAGAGGAGCCCTGAAGACCTTGGAATACCTGTATACCGCAACTATTAATCTGTATCACGTGCATTTCCCGTTTTGTACACAAACTGAAAGCAAGTTTGAACAATAGTAAATAGCAACTACACTCCTGCAACAGGCAAAAATGTCATGTTGCAGCTGCTTACTCCTTCACTTTAGATATGTAGTCAGCCAGTTTGTTGATGCTATCCTCCTGCTGTTCTAGAGCATCCAGTATGATGCCCATTGGGGTCTTCTTCAAGCCTATTCCTTCCATCTTGTTCTCCAGCTTGTTCTTTATGTTCCGGAGCCTCAGAGAAGCATGAACAAACATCACTGCATGACAGAAACACACTTATTAATTGTTAATGCCCAAGGAATGCATAGTTCTTGCAGCATTCATCTTAAGACACACTTCAATGCCATGACATCACTGGAAGAAGATGAAGTCTCAATGACCACTTAAGTAACCGCAGGTACCCATTTAATAATAACATTAAAAGACAGTTTGTGCTGTTTTGTGTCCCCTCCCCCCCAATTTTGTTTTGGGATCATTTAAATAGACATAGTAAAGGCAACAGCCAATTTAGACTCTGCAGACTTATTTGAGAAAGCTCAAGTCACATGCCCCTTAGCCCCCCAGAGAAGAGGAAAAATACTTACAGAGGAGAGGAAGCGTGATCCCAAACATGAACACCATAACATCTCCCAGATATGAGATCAAGAAGTAGCTAGACAGCATGATGACCACTACAAATGTGGTTGGGTACTGCTTCTTCAGCCTGCGGAGTATATCCCTGTTGTGTGATACCCACACAAATCCCATGAACACCAGCACCACCACAGTACCGCCAATAAGCATATTCAGGGGACTCAGAAATCTGAAAAGAAGAGGAGAAAAAAAAAAAAGTGTCCCATTTCAGAGCCTTCATTACTTGTGTCTGTATAGCAAACATCGAGCTCACTGGTAACTTGTTACTAGGGAGGTAAGGCATTAAGAAGTCAGTTGCTGCTGTTGAAGCCTTTATCAACCTCTGATTTTTAGATAGCAGCTAAATAAAGCAACAAGTGCAACTGAACAAGCCCTGCTTAGAAGTGAATTTAGATAATCTTTATGTTCTCTTCCTGAGCTATGCTCAGGATAATGAGAATTTCTGCAGCAG